AGTACAGTGAGACTCAGAAGTGATTTATAAAAACAGCCTTATGCTTTAGCCAGGCCAGATTTTACCATCGTTTCTGGTGTTCATTAGCATCTCATTGCACATGTAGTCCCATTGATCCCAATGGAACATGCCCACACAATAGACTTCTATTCAAGGGTGGTGAAGGCAGTCCATACGCCCATCCCCAAACACTGAGACATGGCAAAGGTTTGTGAATAGACTGCAGATAATTTTTGTTGTGTCTTCTAGAATTTGTACTAGCCTATTATCAGCCTGTAAATATTCACTGGTAACATGCATTGTTTAAAATTGAGATACAAAATGAGACAAAGATTTTTTTTCATTCTCTTTAGTGAGTCTTCCATGCTTTTAAATGCATGGTGGAAGAATTATTCAATAATTTCTATGGCTTTATTTGTTTTCACTATAGCTATGAAAAGTAAATGGTGTTAAACTTATTTGTTTCTGAGATGGCAAAACATTTCAATTTTTAGCTGTTACAACACCCATGTTTTCACTCTGACCTGATATAATGGTAAATATTTGAGAAGCTTAATAAAGCTTCTCAGAAACTGGGGTTTCTGATGGGGAGTTTGTGGGGAGTTCTGCCGTACTCTCTATCTATCTCCCACTCTGTTTATAGCTGATATTTAAATAGCCTATGTGACTTCAAGACTAACATTGTAATCATGAACTATCTACTAAGCAGGGAAGGAGAGGGTTCTTAAAAGTCAGTGTGTGAATTTCAGCATCAAGTGTTATAAATGGAGAAAGTTCACAGTAACAAGAATGCAAACAACTGCAAATGATGTGGAGGGTCAGAAATAAAAAGAAATCTTGCTCATTTAAGAATGTTAATATTCTAGGTATGAATATGGGCCAGAATATAACGGCAAAAGAGAAAACAAATGCAGGCCTCTAACAGCATTATCATCCTTCAACACTGTGACAAGTCAGCCGTGATTCCCAAGTATGTGACAAGTTTTTTTGCCAGGAATGTCAGGTTTAGCCCATTCGGCATGTCTGAAGTGTGCCCCAGTGTCTGAGCTCTGCATATGGGAAATGTGTATCACAGTCTCAGCTCTGTGGCTGTATTTTGAAGGTAGTGCAAGTTTTACCAGCCACCTAAAAATAAACTATTTAATGGATGCCTATTCAACAATACCAGCAGGTTGGGCTTTTTTTCTGAAATTTTGAACACAGCAAAACGTTTCACAGTTGACTAGTACCATGGCATGTCTGATAGCTGTAGAAATATTCAAACTGATTTTCTTGAATCTTTTCACTATATAAAATGCAGGTTTCATGTGCATTCACCATAGGAAAAAAAATAATTATATGCAAATTGTTGATTAAGTGCATTTTATATTTTATGGAAACTAATTTCATGCTTTTGGTAGCAAATATCATATATCAGAGGATTAGTGATTTGCACATATCTAATTAATTAGTTTTTGACAATTTAGATTTTATTACTAAGGTTTTTTGACAATTTTTTCCCAGAAGTTTTTCAACCCAGTATTTATATACAGAAAATAAAATACCATCCTTAATTAACTGCACTGGAATGTCTGACAGTTATGTCCTTTAAGGTTATATTCTCCCCAGAAGCAGTGCTTGGTATGGACCTGATCCTGTCGTCTTCTGCAGGTTACTTCAAAGATATGAGTAAGGGCTCCAGTTTCATACTTAAAAAGAAGGAGAGAAATTATTCTGACCTCTTATTACAACAAATTTAAAATTATACAAGTGGAGAAGAATTTTTCTGTATCCAGGTGGAGGAATATTATCTCTGGGTCTGTCTGACTGACGAATTTCACCACAGCAGCCCAGGACATCCTTTTCCAGTCATTGCCCTCATATTGCACTACTACTGGAAAGCAAATTCATGATAAACACAAGAACTAAAGTAGTATTTCAGCCTACACACTTTGGCGATGCCGAAGTGTCAGATGACAAGATGCTATCATTCTGAATTATAGTGTCAATCTAAATGAAATCCATTAGTATATCTTGAGTAAAACCAGCATTCAGTTAGGAAATCTCGGCTGTCCTCTCTAAAATAAAATGAACTCCGTTTAGAAACAACCAAATTTCAGCTTTATGACCCAGTGAGGTGCGACACAATCCCTCCCTAGTAGCAGTTGTCTCACAGAGAGCCGGCTGAGAGCTTTTTTGTAGCGCAGTGAACTGGGATTCTTCAATAGCATCAACAAATACCTTATTATAGTATTAACAGTTGTAACTATTTTTATACTGAAAGCGCGGTCGTCAAACGCCGAAATTAAATGAAAAGCAGGCAGCGACAGCGAAAGCTGAGAGCAATAGAACATAAAATACGAATAGGCTTCTAATAAACCCCAAAGAAAAATACATAACACTGGTGTAAACAGTTTTCATATCATGAATCAGATTCTGTGTTGCCGGCCAGGTCAATAAAGTCAAAGGAAACACAAGATTTAATATTCTGTCATAGTAATCCTAAACAAAAGAAAAGTTCATCCAATTTCCATGTCAAACTGTATGAGAACTCAGAATCGGGCACTGCCTTAAAATGCATCCATTAATCAAAATCCAGTATTTGAAAACGCATAATTTCCTTTCCTAGCAGCCTCTGAAACCAAAATCCGCCCCGTGAGCCGCCGCCGGGTAAGTAGCAGGTTGGTCTCCCAGGGTCCCGCTCGGTGCCGGCGCTGCGCGGGACGGGACAGTCCCGCACCTGATACTACCGAGCAGTTTGTCTTTCCAGAGAAAGCACCTTTCCCTTCCTCACCAAATCTCTTTGCTTTTGAAGGAATAGGAATTAAAAGGCGGGACAGAGCATGTTAATTTGATAGAACTACCACTCAGCCTCATTTTTCACCCTCTCCGACTCCCCGAATAGGAAAATATTTGGTTTTCTGACTCCCGGGGATTGATTTCGTTGCTGTGCCATCGGAGGCAGTTTCACTGTTGCCTTAACCAGGACAGCGGCACGCCCAGAGCCTCTCCGCAGCCCTATCTGGAATGCCTGTGTTCGGGGGGATGCCGGACACATGTCCGGCGGGGAGAGACGGCGGCGAGTGCACCCAGCCCTCCTGGGGCAGCGGGGACACCCGCCCGCCAAGGGCACCCACCGCACGCCGTCGGGACGGGACGGCCTCGCCGCTCTCCACAGGCTTAGCTGGAAAGTGTCCGGGCGAATGTCCTCCCACGTGGCTGTGCCCACGAGTGGCACTTCCCATGCACCACTCTGAGGCGCTGAGACCTTGACTTTTTTGTCTTTTTTTTCCTCAGTGCCTTCTTTTCTTTTTTCTTTTCTTTTTTCTTTTCTTTTTTCTTTTCTTTTCTTTTCTTTTCTTTTCTTTTCTTTTCTTTTCTTTTCTTTTCTTTTCTTTTCTTTTCTTTTCTTTTCTTTTCTTTTCTTTTCTTTTCTTTTCTTTTCTTTTCTTTTCTTTTCTTTTCTTTTCTTTTCTTTTTTTTTCTTTTCTTGATTGGAGTTGAGCGGTTCTTTTATTGCTTTTCATTTGATTTGCTTTTCTTTTCTTTTTTCTTTTCTTTTCTTTTCTTTTCTTTTCTTTTCTTTTCTTTTCTTTTCTTTTCTTTTCTTTTCTTTTCTTTTCTTTTCTCTTCCTTTTCTTTCTTTCTTTCTTTCTTTCTTTCTTCCTTCCTTTCTTCTTTCCTTTCTTCCTTCCTTCTTTCTTTCTTTCTTTCTTTCCTTCTTTCTTTCTTTCCTTCTCCATCTATCTCTCTCCAGCATCATCAAAGTAAAAGTGACATAGGAAGGCACGGGGAGGCTGGACGCGCCAGACAATGTTACGACCAGCAATCATGCTGGAACAGGGCTGCCCATTTCCAAAACGACTTCCCTGATGAGGCTCCATGTGCCCGGGATTTAACCTCGCGTAACTTTCTCAAATCCTTCCTTTGTCCTAAGGCGACCCCGAACGGAGCCGAGCCCAGCCGCCTTGTCCCGTGGGGGGAATGTTGCGGCAGTGCAGGAGGGACCGGCCCGCACAGCCGAGACAGGGGCTTTGGGGAGCAGCGACATTGTCGGGAAAGGAGAGAGAAAATTGCTAGTAATATTCCTTCGAGTCCCGAGTCGACCCTTACTTCTCGTCCCAGCGCCAGCCCCTCACCTCTCCGCGATGCACTGGCTGCACTGGATCGCCCCCCGGCCCCATCCCGACGAAACCCCCAGCCCGGAGTGGAGCAGGGCTCGCTGGAGCAGCCCGCCCTGCCGGAGGTGAGGATGGGACCCCTCCTGTTGCTTTCCCCGACGGCATCTTTTCGTCTTACTCTTCTATGTCCTCGTCGGACACGAACTTCCCCAAACGAGCTGCGCGTCTGCTCCGGAGCGGCGGACGCGGGGATAAGCGCTGACAGCCTCCCGCCCCGGGGTCGGGGTTTTCACCCTGTTCTGCGCGTTGTTATGCCGCTGCCGCCGTCACCGTATCAATTTTTATTCATTTGCTTCTCCCCGGCTCTACGGGAAAAAAGGACTGAGGGAGGAGCGGGTAGCCCCCGGGAGCCACCCGGAGAGCTGCTCCGCGGGATGAGGAGACAGGCGGTGCCCGGCTCGGCGGGGGCGGACGGCGCTGTGGGATCCGGGCCGGGCCAAGGTTCCTGCCTGTATGTCTGGCAAACCTATCAGCTTAGGAAAAGTCAGAGTGGGTTTGTGGCTTTCGCGGTGGAAGCGGGATAAAGCCCAGGTCTCGTTGAGTTACTTTTAATATATCCTCTTAAATCTTTTTTCTTTTCTTTTCTTTTCTTTTCTTTTCTTTTCTTTTCTTTTCTTTTCTTTTCTTTTCTTTTCTTTTCTTTTCTTTTCTTTTCTTTTCTTTTCTTTTCTTTTCTTTTTCTCACTGCAGGATTTACTGACAGTGCAGAAATCAGAAAGCTTTCATTTTGCTCAGCAGATTAACCGCAATTAGGCCCAGCCGGACGAAAATATTCCTCTTTTCCTTACTCTTCGCCCTCCTCGGGTCCTGGACACTATGGAGGAGCGAGGTGCTACCAAGGAGATTTCTGCTGGGCCCTAAACGCCCTTTGGAAGGTGAACACTCGGCCCGTCGGTTTCACACGAGGGAGGGGGGCACCAGGGCCGGCTCTGGGAGTTCCAGAGCCCGTCCGACGCCAGTGGCTCAGGCCCTGTCCTGGCTGGCAGCCCCACACTCGTCGCGTACGCACCACTGGGGCCTGGGAAGATCCAGTGGAGCACCACACGCCCTTCCCCGGACACGCAGGCTACTACCGCCGCCGTCGCCGCGAGGGGATTCTCACCTCCCCAGACCGGCAGACTCCGCAGGTGGCCAGGCCGGCTCAGTCCGCACCCGAGGCAGAGAAGTAGCTCAGCCGAGAGCTAGGGAGGTGACACCCGCCCCAGGGGCCCCTCCCGCCCTGCCCGGCGGAGCTACAACCAGCCCAGCCCCACGCCCCCCCCCCTTCCCCGCTCCACCGTTGGCTGCGCCCGGTGCCGGGCCCCTTCTACTTACTGGCGCTAAAGCCTGGGTATATTTGCAGCGCTGCCCCCCGAGCTGGCTCCCTTCCCGCCTGAGTCCGGCCCGGCCTGGCTCTGTCGGTCCTGCCGACGGCCGCTCCGGCCGCGCCGCCCTCCCGACGGAGCCCGGGGCCGCGGAGCCCTGGGGACTGCCGGTCGCCCTTCCCGCCGCCAAGCACATCAGTTTTCCTCCGCACCCTGGCTTTCCCCGTTTATTTAAAGGGAGTCACTGGCCCGGGGGGAGGCGGGTTTCCCAGCCAGCATCTCCCCGCGGCGGCTGCCTGAGTCATCATCGCTCATTTAAACAAAGCGGCGACCCAGGTACGAGGCAGTCGCGGCCAGCCCGCCCAGGCGAGGGGCAGCCGGTGCCGCACCACACACCCCGGCCGGGGAGGACAGGGGGAGAGGGAGGAAAAGGCAAACAAAGCGGGGAGCCCCGGCTGGAGCCGGGCATGTTGCAGGACGGGGGCGACCAACGTCCTCTCCTCCTGCCATAGCGGGGGTACTTCCCCGGGCTTCCTGCCCGCTGCCGCCGGCCACTGGGGTTTCCTGGACGGCCCCGAGCAGGCGCGCAGCCCTTCGCAGCCCCCTGCCTTCCTACTGTAGACGGGATGAGGTTTTATATTGGAAATGAGGGGGCAGGGGGAGGAGAAGGAGCGCACACGGAGCGATGAGTGTGCGGTGTCAATCAGAGGGGTTTTGTGTCTCCTTGACTCCTGATGGTCCATGGCTGAGGTGTCCCGGGTGGCACCACAATGAATATGAATAGGGGTCCTTGCTAAATGGGACAGTCAAAGCGCACCGCCCTGAATAATGGCACGTCATCCTAACTAGACCATTATACATAGGAGGGCTCCTTTTGTCTCTGCTCTCTGCTGCAGCTCTATAAAAGCCCCTCTTTTTCAGGCTGAGGTTAGTCCAAGCATACACTAACTAGCCATCCTGTAAACAGGCTGAGTAACCGGGGGGGAGAGAGAGAGAGGAGAGAGATTGAAGAGAGAGGGGGCTGAGGGGCTTTTTTCTTCTTCCTCCGTTTCCAGCCCTTCGCTGGCAGATCCTGCCGTCCGTTTACTTCTTTTTTGCCTCGTTTTTGTTTCTTTTTGAAGGAGAGTGGTCTTGTTCCACCACCTCCAGAGCAGGGAAGAGTTTCTTACTCAGAAGCCTGAATACAATGAATTCTGACTCCAGCTCTGTCTCCAGCAGAGCTTCCTCGCCAGACATGGATGAGATGTATCTGAGAGACCACCACCACCACCACCACCATCACCACCACCAAGACAGCCGGCTCAACTCTGTCTCCTCCACCCAGAACGATCTGGTGCAGAAGATGTCCGGAGAAGGCCTCACCAGGAACGGCTCCAAGGCCGGAGGGGAAGGCAGCAAGTACAAAATCAAGAAGCAGCTTTCGGAGCAGGACCTGCAGCAGCTGCGGCTGAAGATCAACGGTCGGGAGCGTAAGAGGATGCATGACCTCAACCTCGCCATGGACGGACTGCGGGAGGTGATGCCCTACGCCCACGGACCTTCCGTGAGAAAACTCTCCAAAATCGCCACCTTACTGCTAGCCAGAAACTATATCCTGATGCTCACCAGCTCCCTGGAGGAGATGAAGAGGCTGGTCGGGGAAATCTACGGGGGGCACCACTCGGCCTTTCACTGCGGCACGGTGGGACACTCCACCGGGCACCCTCCCCATGCCGCCGGCACTGTGCACCAGGTGCATCCCATCCTCGGCAGTGCCTTGTCCTCCGCCAACACCTCCTCCTCCCTCTCCGCCTCCCTGCCGGCCATCGGCACGATCCGGCCCCCACACTCCCTGCTCAAGACCCCCTCGACACCCCCCGCCCTGCAGCTCGGCAGCGGCTTCCAGCACTGGGCGGGCTTGCCGTGCCCCTGCACCATCTGCCAGATGCCTCCCCCGCCCCACCTCTCGGCCCTCACCGCGTCCAACATGGCCAGGATCTCGGGGGAGACCAAGGACCTCCTGAAGTGACTCGGCGGGGCTCCCCCGACCGCTGGGGCTGCGCCGAGGCCAGCGCTCCCATGGACGGAGAGGGGGCTGCTGCCGGCCCCCTCTCGGGCCGCCGACGGACCTGCCCCAGCTGCCTCCCGCCCCACCAACCCCCCTGTAACACAGGATTAGTGTAGTAAGGACCTTGCAAAGGTAATGTTATACCCAGCTCCTCTGGTGATGTTTTCTTATTATACTAACTGGAAAAAAAAAAGTCCCTGTTGTAAAAAGAATGATAATGATGATAATAATAATATTAATGCCGCTGATGGTAATCAAATGTAAATGATTCCTTAAAATGTATGTAAAAGGAAAAAAAGAAAGACATGGTTGTCGTTGTAGTTTTCGCAACTAAGAGAAAATGAGATCAGTTTGGGGTTTCCCTCCCTTCTTTTTCCTGGCTTTTCCTTTCTTTCCTTTCGCACGGCGACACCTCCGAAATTTCCCGCTCCAAACCTGGCTGCGTCAGCGCAGCGGCGGCCCAAGGTAGCCCAGAGAGTGCATGTATGCTTCCCACCCCAGCTTGTCACCAGCGGGGACCGGCCACAGGCAGCTTCCCTGGCAACAGGGACTTCCGAGACAATTCACTGAAGTTTTCGAGTGTGGTTTATAGTTTGGGGGTTTTGTGCTTGGGTGTTGTTTTGTTTCTTTCTTTCTTTGTTTCCTCCAAATTTTGCTGTGATGCTGTTTTGTTTGCGGTACTTTTTCTTCTTCCCTCTGTGAAGGAAAAAAAAAAGAGGAAAATAGTGCAAAACATAACACAACCGTCCTGCGGATCTGTTTTGCCAAATCTCCGATCTCCTGTTCTCAGTGAAGTGTGCTAGTTCAGCTGGCTGGGGTACTAATTTCGCATGCTGGCTTTGTTTTTTTTTTTTTGTTTTGTTGTTTTTTGGGGGGGTTGTTGTTGTTTGTTTTGTTGTTGTTGTTGTTTTGGGGGGTTTTTGTTTGTTTGTTTGGTTGGTTCTTTTTGTATTGCTATAGTTTGGGTTTGCATGCGGAGTCAGCTCTTGCAACATCAGTGACTTGTAGAACTAAATCGGAAGCTTTGTTGCTGTTTATTTCCTTTCCGGTACTTTTTCCTGGAATTTTGCTTGAAATAATGTTATTATTAATTTCGATTGTTGGTTTGTTTGTTTGTTTTCGGTTGGGGCCTCAAAGACAACACCGTGTCTTTATTTTTTATATATTCTTGATAACTATCAATATATTTATTATTGACCAGTGTTTCTGGATGAGATTTCCAAATAAAATAAAAAATAAATTCCAAACTGACTGTTTCGCTTTTGTCCGGGACTGGACGCTCAGAAAAGGCGCCGTATTTGATCGCTTTGGGTTTCGCCAGGACTTCCCCAGCCCAGACTAGGAGGAGGTCGGCGCATCCCTGTGTGCGGCTTGGGAGCAGCCACGAGCCCGACGTGCTCCGCTGTGTGAGAGCTGCCGGGCAGCTTCCGGCAGTTTTCCACTGGGCTGGGAGCCGGCAGGAATTCAGCCGATGGCCGGTCCCACAGACAGAGTCAGGTGGCGGGAGGACGGGCCGCGAGCACCACTGGGAGGGGCGCTGGGGCGTTTAGGGGCAATAACTTTCTTTTTTTTTGAGATCCAGCTGTCGGCCCTTTTCCGGGAGGGAAATGGCGAGATGGACAGGGTTGGGATAGGCATCTCTGCCCCGCCGGGAGGCGGTGCTCCATGGGGAGCAGCGCGGTGGGGTGCGGCATCCTCGAGGGAGCGCGGCTGGCGATTCCCAGCGCCCTCTGGCTCCGCGCACGGGAGCGGGTCCTGCACCCCCCATCCAGACCACGGCCCCCTGTCTTACGCGAAAGGGAATGTCCGGGAAGGGCCTGAAGAAACACGGAGAAGACGACTCCCCCTGATTCGCAAGGTGAGTAGTGAGAGAGGAAGGATGGGTGGAGCATTTAAACCGAAATGCCAAACAATTTTTGAAGGCACCTGTGGGTGATCCGTGCTGGTGAACTGCAGCACTCAAATCAAGATTAAGAGATAAGCACTCAAACGCAAACATTTGAAAATGAAAAGAAGAAAAAGAAGAATGTATATTTGCCTCGAAAACATACTGAACTAACAAATCATGTTCTGAGAAATCACTCCCGGGCTGAAGTAAATCCTTACTGTAATTCAGCAAGATGATCAAGATATGCTGCAATTTCCCTCCCTCCCTCCCTTCTTCCTTCCCTCCTTCCTTCCCTCCCGTTTTCACCTGTTTTCAGTTTTTTCGCCGCTGACCAAGTCACGGCAGTGTCCGGTCCCCGCCCGCCCCAGTCTCAGGGATTAGGGAGTCCCGCCGCCGGGGAGGGGGCACAAGACAGGGAGGTGGGCAATGAGACTGATGGGTGCAACCTGTGCTCCGTAAGGTGCTGTCCTTGAGGAGAGGGCCGGCGGGGTGATCCCCTTGGGCCGTCGGAGCTGTGCTCCGGGCTCTGTGCAGGACGCGGGCAACCCGCCCCGCCGTCCCGGTGGGAGAGGCTGGGCTGGAGCCTCTGCCCGGCTCCGGCAGCCAGAGGCACTCTCACACACACTCCTCCCTTTTCTCTGGCTGCGCTGCCTGAACAGAGGGCAAGCACAAGCCGGGGGAAACCGGCAGAGGAGCGGGGAGCCGCGGGGAGCGGCCTGCGGGATGGCAGTCCGGACGCGGGGCCGCCGGCTCCTCCTCAGCTGACCCGACTGTCCCCGACGTATTCCTCCATGCGGGGCTGACACGGTTGGAGCACAAAGCCACGATCCAGGAGCCGGCAGTCAGGTACGCGGGACCCGCCGCTATCCCCGGCAGTGTTGCCTTGCCCTAAAGTATCTCTGCCGCTCGGCCCCCTCGGTCCTGGGGACGGAGGGCGCCTTGCCTCAACAAAAGGTCTCTTTGGAGACATTTGACCCCCACTCAGCCACACAGAACCGTCCCGGGCTCTGCCTCGCATTCCCTGGCAGCGCCGGGCTGTTTTCCAGCCGCGAAGCAAGGGTGGGTGAACAGGCTTCTTCGCGCTTTTCCGTAGCAAAAGCGACCAAGCAGCTGCATGAGCCTGAGACAGGATTTTGAGTCGTCAGGAAAGGGGTGGCAAATGTCCCGTCCCCCCGGCTCCCATGCGGCAGCGACGTACTCCAGGAGGTGCGAGTCAAACGCCAGAGACTCGCCTCCCTGGTTTCACGTCCTGACCTGTGGAGAAGGGAAAATTGAAAGAGCATCTGAAGAGATGTGGTTTCCTTATCCTTTTCGATGGGTGGGGAAACGCTGAGCAACTTGGAGATATGATGCTGCAGGCGAGGAGGCACCTTTGGAGAGTCCCTTCCCTTCCCTTCCCTTCCCTTCCCTTCCCTTCCGTCGAATTAAAGTCACTTCCGTACCTTCCATTCCCCCTGCACCGGCAAACAAACCTGACCAAACCTTACCCAAACTTCCCTTCCCAAACAATTCCCTTACCAAACCTTCCTTCCCAAACCGTCAAACTTCCCTTCCCTTCCCTTCCCTTCCCTTCCCTTCCCTTCCCTTCCCTTCCCAAACCTTCCCAAACCTTCCCAAACCTTCCCAAACCTTCCCAAACCTTCCCAAACCTTCCCAAACCTTCCCAAACCTTCCCTTCCCAAACCTTCCCAAACCTTCCCAAACCTTCCCTTCCCAAACCTTCCCAAACCTTCCCTTCCCACCTTTCCAAACTTTCCCTTCCCAAACCTTCCCTTCCCTTCCCCTGGAAAAAACCAACTAACTACAGAACAACTTCTGGAGAAACTGCCCATGGGGAGAGAAGGGAGAACAGTGGGGTTTTCTGTGGGAAGGTTTACCTCCACAAACACACTGGAGAAATAAATACAATAAAAATAAATAATAATTAAAAAAAAAAAGGGGGTTGAGCGATAGAAATAGGAAATCGGGAAAAGACTCGATGGTGGCAGAGACTAGCAGTGCCCATCCTGTGGGCTCATCCCTACCTGACAGTGGGGCTGTAGGGTTGGGGCATGGTGGGGCAGGTGCCGCATGGCTCAGCATGGCAGGGGACAGCTTGACTAGGCATACTTCTCCTTGGATAAATGTGAGCTTGGTTCTCTCAGGAAATTCCTTTCATTTTCACCACAAAAGCAATGTCTGTGTGCACATATATAAAATACATACGTATGTACACATATAAATATAGATATAAATATATCAGAGGTGGATGGATACCATTCGTTTTCCTTTGTTAATGTCCTTGCTGTCCACTCAGTCCCGGCACAACCATGCCATGGAGAAGGCAGATGCTGCTGCTAGTCTTAGGGGGAAACAGTTTTCCCTCCTTTCCCAGTGCTTCCTATTTCCCATGGGGAAGGACCTTTTGCCCCCAGCTCCAGAGGTCCACCACAAATTTCACACCAGTCCCCTAGGCCTTGGGTGTTTGGTACGTTGTGTGGGGTTCCTTTTTTCCCCTACTCTCCCATCCCACCAGAAACCCCACCTGAAAACTCCAACACAGACCATGCCTGCACAGGTGTCTCTTCTCCAGCCACATGGGGCCAGGAAGGAGGTGGGGGTGGGCTTGTGTTTTGATTAACATGGAAATAAAATGCAGAAATAGCAGCAGTACTTAGCTTCATTGCTTCAGTTTAGAGATTTATTGATGGGGAGATAAACACTAGGCTGGGGTCTTGTTCAGTAATTCACAGTCCCCATCAGTTATTACCAAATGAGCAAATCATTTTTCTTAGAAGTCAGAGAGGGGGAAAAAAGTATGGGAAAAAAGTGATTTTTTAATAGGTTGCTACCCCCTGCCCCAGGTCCAGATCTCAGGCTGCCTGCCCAGCTGCCCTGGTTGGGGACCTACTCTCCAAGCAAAACTAATAAGAGGTTTATTATGGATTTGTGCCTCTTAAAATGCATGTGTCTTGCTCTGCCTCCCTCCAACTTTCTTTTGTATTTTCCTACTTGTTCCTATCCAAAATTTTTTATTTTGCATTTTCTATTCTTTGCAGTCCTATTTTCCCTTCTTCAGAAGCAAGTAGGCATGGATTTGAGCTGGAAAGTGCTGCCACAAGATGACATTGTGCTACTGCCAGGGAAAACAAAGGGGCAAGATTGAGAAGGGGAGTATAATCCTTTACTAGATGCAGTAATATTGTTGAGGAAAATGGGCACTTTGGAGGTACACAAACCCATTCTCAAGTCTGAAACGGAAACACCAAACTAGTAGCTAATTGCAAGGTAAATACTAAAATGTAAGCAGATATCTTTCACTGAAGTTCTGTGAAATCTAAGGATTTGAGTTTGTTGCTTCATATTCAGTGTCATTAGAAATACCTTGAGACATCCACACCATAGTGCCAAAAAATGATCAGGGCCTCCTGAATATTCATATTTTACTGGACCACCAGGAGAGGTCAGGTGAGAAATCCTAAGGCATCCTAGAGGTAGTAATTACCTACATTTAGGTGGCTGTAGTGGTTTGAACCTTGTTCTCCCCAGAGGCTAAGAGAAGTGGTAGACCCCAAGGGGTGGAAACCCCTGGAAGTTTTGAAGTTCTGCCCAATGGACGCTCCTGCAGAAATGTAAACATATCACAACCAGACCGGAAAAGAAGAGTTGTAGTTTTGTTGTAGAAGAGGTGGCCATGTTGTAGAGCCACGAGGTAGGGGCTCTGAGCCCCTTGGGGCCTCTGGCCCCCTCCCAGCCCCTGGCTGGGGGCTGCAG